TTTTTTTTTTTTTTTTTTTTTTTTGGTTCTTCTTCTTGGGAAGAAGCGAAGGCCTTAAACATGCAGATACAGAGGGGAGGGAAGGAAAGGGCAGTAGGGTTCATTAAGTTGGAAGAAGCAAAGGCCTTAAACGTATAGAGAAATGAAGGGAATGTAATTGAAGAACCTCACTGAAACGTTGCTGTCTCTTTGGTAATAGAAGGCTCAATCTACGAGAAGGGCATACAGAAATAGAATCAATGGAACTGTAACAACACAAGGTGGCGTTAAGGCGATAACTTCGAATTATCTTCCCTCCATAGCCCTTTTTTCTTTTTCGATCTTCTTAAAATGGTCAAACTCGGATCAGAAATGGCAGCCACCACTTTGTCTGTGTATGCAACTCAGGCACGCAGCCTCGTATAGTAGTAGTCGTATGTCTCCCCCCAACTTTTTTATATCAAAAATGCAAAACCCTTTATTAAAGCTGCGATCTTTTTTTCTTTTTTTTTTTCATATGATCTTTAAAACCTTTATTTCAACTTCAATTTCAATTTCAACCAAACATTGCATATGTATGACATCACTTTGAATATTTGTATTAACTTGTTTATGTATTGAAGTTGAATAGTTGTATAATTTGTTACGAAACAAAATTAAGGTTAAAATGAAAATTTTCCATCTTAGAGTGATATAATTGATATGGATGATCGGTTCTTAATAAGTGGTCGTAATCATTTGTTAGCTACCAAAAGTCTACGAAACACGATGATGAGAAATGAGTTGACAACACATTCCTTTCCCTTCTGAATTATCATGACAATCCAGAACCAGTACAACAAAAACATCACATATATAAAGTTATGCGGGACTGCAGTCCGGTGGAGATCACAGTCCAAACCTACAATAATTCCAGCTATCAATGTGCCCTCATAAGTCATATTCCAAAAGAAAAGAAAGGAAAACTATGGGTTTCTAGTAGTAAAATGATAATCTCGAAAAGGGTTTGACATTGGTTCACCTATACTCACTACATACAATATTTAATCTTCAGTATGCCAAAGTCACGACTGCAAGTCGTCATTCTCTACTCTGTTTTCTTCTCTTTCTACATCCCTCTTCTGGTATACAATTATCTGACTCAAAATGGTACTGTGTGTCACAATAGAACGTGTGGATCCCAAGAGAACTTTGACGAGCTTTAAGGACCACGGTTTATCCAAAAGAATAAACATCTAGGAAAATAACTTGAATGGATTATATTAACAACAAAAAAGAATGAGAGCTGACTCATAAAACCAGAGAGCCAGTGGGAGCAAGTTTTCAAAGACCTAGAGAGGACTAATGCAGCAATGCATTTTCTACAAACAGAAAAAGGGAGTATTTGAATTTTGCCATCAAGTTTATATTTTTCAAGTAATGTAACCGATGACTACAAGAAATGAAAATGTGTTAGTAAAATCGGAAAAAGTGTTTGAGCAAAGGCTCAACCTAGAAAAGTCCAAAACTTCATGCATGAGACTGATTCTTGAATTCTTGTAAGATGTTATCACTGAAACTACTACCCAAATAATATAAGTGCGGAAAGGAAAAAATAAAAATAAATTTTAAAAAGAGGATACCACTGCTTGGTGCGTTTTCTTGGATGCTGGTGAAAACCCTCACTGCAAAAGAAAAATGGAATAAACCTTGATGTCTTCACGAGAAAACTAATGCAACCGACTAAATCTCATCAGGCAATCGTCTTACCCATAGAACCTCCAAAGTTCATCATGGATGTTAAAAGGCTAAGCTCCTCAGTACTTTTGTTCTGCACAGAGGATTACTTTTTTCGAATGAGAACTTTCATTGAAGATATCAAAACATAATACGGTTAAGACATGATATCAAGCCAAAGAAAAGATTATTTATAAATGTTGGGAATGCAACTAAAGTTCTATATTGACTAGATAAGGGAGAGATCATGAGTACATAAGTGAGGAATGATAGCTTCATTGGTATGAGGCCTATTGGGTTAATCCAAAAAGCAAAAAACCATGGAACTTATGCTCAGAAGGAAAGGTAAACTCTCACTTGAATTGTCATTGGTTAACGTGACAACAGCTGGTTTCGTGATTACAAGGTTCAGTTTCGAACCACTTTCCTAATCTTTTGAAATGCAATTGGATAAATTACGACAATGGTACAGATCGTCCAATATCATTTAATATTTTTTTCCCGTCTTTTTTTTCTTCCTTCCCAAAGGGTAATTTAATTGAAAATTTGAAATGGTATAATAGAACCTTCAAATAAACTTACAGAAAAGTTCTTCCATATTTGTGGGATCCTCGAGAAGAGAAAAACTGCATGTTGAGATGCCTGAAAGGAAGTTTCCAAATTGGCAAAGATTTTGGTATAGAGCTATTACAGGAGAAAATTTTCAACACATGTAAAGGTAAGTCTTTGATTTTTCTTCATTTATTTACCCTCTTCGAGGAATGAACAAATACATTAGTGACAGGCAGTAAAAATATCTAAACAACAATTTACAAGAAATTGAGAAAGCTTAAAACATGGATTAAGAGATAAATCCTAAAAAAAACAGTACGAGACTTGCGTAAAGAGCTTCAAAGAGAGCAGGATTAATCTGACCGGCTAGAACTGTTGGTGCTAGAGCACAATATCTGAGTGGCAGCGTGTTAAGGCAGTTACAAGTTTCTCCCTTCTTTTGCAAAAATTAATATATAAATAAAAACGCAGGAGGATCTCAGTTGAAATGTTCTCATTATAGAAGCATGCGACAAGAAAGAAGCAGAATCTGAACAGGTAAAAAACAAATAGGATACAGTAACGCTCTGATCCACGTTTTCATACCAATAAGCTGAGAATAATAGTAGATAACGGCAACCAAAATTATAGCTGTGGCAAAACAAAAAAAAAAAAAAAAAAAAAGAAAAAAAAAGAAAAAAGCATGTAAAGGAGTGAAATTCTTTATGAGTTTTCGATTTTATTGGGTTCTGTTAAATTTTTTTTGCTTCCTTACTGATGCTCACAAAATATTATTTGATTATACAAAATGTTTAGAGTTTGAGGTTCAACTTCATCACCAATTCAATCGTGAAGAGAATAACGTCACTTGA